AACATTTTTAATTAATTTATTATGTTTATTATTTTTATAATTTAGAACTAATTGAAGATAATTCTAATATCTGTCTTCTAATAGTATCAAATTTTCTAAACCATAATATAGCAAAGGTCATTCAAGTCATAAAGTTCCTAAAAGCTCTAGGAATAATAATAGAAAATAGATATTTTTTATCTAAATTTTAAGAGAAATTTAATATTATGTATTTTATGTATTTGTTATTAATATATAAGTATATAATATTTCATAATAAATATAAATCGATCAATATTTGGTATTATACCAATATTTATATTATATAAATATTGGAATATATATATATATTTTTTTTTAAATATTAAGGTAAGTACTTGTAACACAGAATTTTATTGATAGTATATTTGGCCAATAATTGCTTTACAATCACAGAAGGCAACCATGAAAAGAGTGTACAACTAGCCACTTGTACAACTTTAGTCATTGTCTAATTTAAGTAGTCCACCTGAAGATTCTACACTAGCTGCCATATCTGGAACCCACTTGTAGGTTTCCTATTTAACCACTCTGTTTTTATATCCACTCACCTACCTCTGCCTATCAATGACCCTGGTCGATGTCAGTGAAAATATGCCATAGCCACCAAGTCTTTAAAGCAGTTCTTTGGAACCTTTGATCTTGTACTAAACCTTCCAGAATCTTCTGTATCCATTCTTACAGCTGACCTAGTATCACTATAGCCAAGACAAATACTGACAGTCAAAGCATACCATTAAACCACTATGCCCTTGTAGAGTTTACCCCAACTCTGGTACTTACTTTATAACATATTCTTACTACTTTGGTATTCAATTCAAGTTTTACCAAGCTACTATTCCAGATAGCCCAGAAAGGCTGGTTTACATGTTTGCTGATATGTACTCTTTTTCTTCAGAACCCAGAAATTCTGGCGGCCTGGTTGGTTCATTCAGTCCCTCTTCAAAGACCAGCACATTTGCCTGGTTTCATAAGTTTTAGCTCTATTTCATAAATCTAGTCTATACAGTAGCACTGTCAAAAGCTCAGATTACCTCTCTACTTGAGTTTTTCAAGTGGGTTTCCATCTTTCTTCTATTAGTTTCTATGATTTACATAATCACAAGAACTTATTGTAGGTTTGCACTGCCTGGTACCAGTTTGCATTTCTTTGTGTAACCACAGACCTTGTCCCAAAGAACAATGTTATGTGACTGTTACACAAATGCCATGTGACCTGCAGTCATGCTGGTGTGACATAGATTACAAGTATCTTATCCCAACCAATTGCGAGAAACAGTTAACTGTAATACAGAAAGGATTTTCAAATTTTTTGTCAATACTGGGATTTGAACTCTGGACCTGCCACTTGGGAGTTAACAATCTAACCACTTTACTAGGTCGCCACACCCCTATTGAAATATTTTAAATCTCTCTTTATTTAATATTATTTATAGTTATGCTTAAATTCTACTTTAATTTACATTATAAATATTAGTATTCTTTTATTTAACTTATATTTATAAAATTATTTAATATTTATGCTGATATTTAGATTTAATATTGCCAAATAACAGCTGCAAAACAGATTTATAAAAAATAAATATCAGAGTAAAAATATTTATTGCATGTTGACAAGGGTCAACAGATCGAAAAGACAGGAAGCATTGGGCAGAAGACATGTGGCATGTGCTTGCCTTGGCCCAGTTACCTGTATCAAAGATCAACTATGCAAAATCAGTGAGGCACATGACATGTGCCCAAATCAGCCCAGTTATACACTTAAGAATCAATTGAAAAAATGAAGTTATTGATGAATCAAAAATTCATGCAAAATCGAAAAATTATACAAAGCCAAAAAAGCCACCAAAGCGACAAATATAAAAAGGTCATAGGGAAAAGCCAATTCTATGCACTCTTTCTTACAAGAACCCAATTCATTTAGCTTGCATTTTCTCAAAATAATTTCAAACAATTGTCTCAAATAATTGTTTCATGTAAAAAAAAAAAAAAAAATCTTTTTCATAAATAAATTTCTTTAAATAATAAATAATAGCATATAGCAACCCACATAATAAATAAATACTTATAAAAGGAATAATTGCAGTAGTACATATGATCTATTAAACTTGATCATGAGCCAAACTGAGCCTGAGTTACATGATTCTGAAAAAGTGAAGAACGTCCCTCCTCAATACATGACAACCACACCTACTTCCAGCAGCACAACTATGGGCCTCAGTCATCAAAGTTCAGATGTTAACATCGACCCACACATAAAGTCATACATTGATGAGTTAATCTGAGCATCAACCTCTTCGGTTATGAACTCCATCAAGCAGTACATCAACTCTCAGTTCAACAGACAAAGATCATGGAATGAGCAACTTCAATCAAATATTGACAACATGTTTGCCAAGCTTATGCAACTAAACAACAGCAACAGCACTATTTCCTATGCATCAACTTCAACCAGCCAAGCAATATCATGACAGCACCCATATCATCTGAAGAACACACCACAACCATGTACAACAGAACAGGTAAGTCAGGACATTCAGACTACAGGTAATCATCCTCCAACTCCTACATTGAATAATCTAATTATAGCAACTTCAAGAGTGAGTCTGCAACCACAAAGCCCTATAGCAATAGCAAACCAGGCACTACTGGCATTAGCATCCATGAAGCTGCTTGTGCTAAAATCAACATCAAGAAAATACTCATCTATCAATTAAGCTCAGTTCAACCATATGCATAAAATTCAAAGCTTTTCAAATCCACATGCCACAAGGACCAAAAGTATATGAATTTGGTGGGTTACTAACTGGCAAGAGGGCAAACAAATCATTGAAAGCCTCTCACATAAGCCCAACATTTCAACTAAGCTATGGAAGGTGATTGCTTTCAGCTCCTATATAAACTTACAGAAGTTTTCATACAAAAACCTCCTTATCACCATGAAGGAAACTGAGGATGAGCCTGTGTTGCAATCAGCTGAAGGGGGCTCCATTTCGATTAAGAGACACTCATGCCACACAGCATTCTTGGATATATCAGAATGGCTTCTTGCTTTTAAGTTGTACATAAATGCAGTCCTAATAATTTATAGAAACTGAGAACAAGAGCTAAACAGTTACAGAGATCACATTAATGAGCTATGCCTGTGGCAAAGCTTTCATGCAGTTATAGTATATGATGAAGACTGCAAAGTGTCAGGGGTCATGAACCGAGATTCAACTCTTCTTGATCATGATACTGAAGTTGAAGGCTGGAATTTCGATGCTACTACAGTAAAAAGACAGAGAATAAATACATACCAGCCTACAAAATTAGTACTAAATGGCCTAATAGAAGAAAAATCTGTATTAATTAGAACAAACAATCTTACAGAGATGAGAAACTCTGCAGAAGGGTCTATGCATGCTTAATATGTAAAAAGACAAATCATAGTGAGCAACACTGCTTTAAGAAAAACAACTCAAAAAAGCATAATTCAAATAATGATGGATTGGCAGAAAAGAGCACACAACAATAATGATTTGCCTATGCTCCCTACAGGACTATATGCAAAAAAAAAAATCACCTTTTGTGGTTATACAGACATACTGTTGAAGTATTACTGTAGCTATATTAGTACTTCCACCAAACAACAATTAAAAAAAAAAAAAAAAAAAATATATATATATATAAAAAGGGAAGGCACATATTGCAGAACATCAGTTGACAATTCAAGCTTAGGTGTTCAATGCATGAATAACAAAAAAAAAAAAAAAAAAAAAAAAAAAAAAAAGATTGTAGGTTGGATATATAACAATTTATTTTTACTACATCCAACTTACTCTTGATGAAATGTATAGTTCCATCATGAACAAGCCTAATTTCCTAATTATTGCTTCAGCTACAGAGTGTCATACTAGGCATCCATCACAGTTTAAACTTGCTCGGGGCATTATGTTGTATGAGCCACCTGGTCTTCAATCAGTCAACAAAACATTGACAGGAATTCTGCTATGCAACAAGCTTTTGTCCTCTGTATAATGTGAGATCCTGAAGCAACTCAACCCAGAGGTTTTTAACATCTCTACACTAATTAATATAGATGCATTCATGTATTTGACTGCCAGCCACCCAAATCGGCCATTCATCTCTTACTTAGCAGATAAACTTAATAACAGATTTTGATTTAACTTTTCAGAACAAAGATCAACAGTCATTCAAGAGAACCTAAGCTCAATAAAAATCGATCCTTTATCATTCTAAAGATACATACAAGATGAAATAACACAGGATCGTATGTGCAGTTCATTTTCCCCACATCAGCCTCCTTGCCAGCTTTTTCAGATAAATCCTTGTGGTTTGGTGAAAAAGAAAAAGTCTGACCTGAAGGTGTATCGAGTAATTTTACATCTGTTAGCCCTCTTTGATGCTAGCATCAATGATAGAATTGACTGAATCGAATTTAGCACACAGTACGAAAATATCAGCCATGTGATCTGATGGATCACATACTACAGCAAAAGGTGCCACCTATTGAAGATCAACATAAAGAATGCATATAGAATTATTCTGATCCATCCTGTCAACCAAGTGCTACAAGAAAATAAGCTATAATGGCTAGTTATATTTTGATAATGCACTTGCATTTGGCAACCAAGCATCTGGTAGCATATTTTGCAGATTTGCTGACATGCTGACATGGATCACAGTACAACAGGCTGTGCAGTCAATTATCCACTACGTGGATGACTTTCTCATTATATCGAGAACAAATGAGTATCATGAGCTAGATCAGTTTCTTCATATTCTTAACATTTTGAATATTTCACACAAGCCATCCAAGCTTGAAGGGCCTGCCATTTCTATCACATTTCCTAGTATCTAGCTCAATACTCAAGCCTTTTTGGCCACAATACCTGTAGCCAAAAAACAAAAAATTATCACCATGTTGGATCAATGGACAGGCAAATAGTCATGTTTTCAAAAAGAGCTACAGTCTTTATTGGCTTGCTAATATGGGTATGCCAGGTTGTCCCACAGGGACAACTCTTCATTTAATAGTTTGTTAAAGCTCTGAACATAGTGCAAGGGCCAAAGTTCCATATTAAGATTAATGGTTCTATGAAATCAGAAATTCACTGATGGATTACAACAATTCTTGCCTGGTCTGATACACACCTCATGGAGAATCAGGTTTGGTTAAGGCCAGATATACAGAATTTATTCACTGATGTGTCTAACCTAGATGGTGGTGCAACATTTCAATTATACTTTACAACCTTTAACTGGACCCGAGGGTTAGACTTATTTTTACATAATATTCAGGAGCAAGAACTGCTAACTACACTCATTGCTATATTAACCTTTTCATCCATTTGGCTACAGAAGCGATTCATCATCTGGACTGATAATAAGGCCAACACCGATGTCATGTACAATGGCTACTGTAGGCAGACAGAAATCAATAACATTGTTGTACAAATTTATCAAGCACAAATGCATGGCTGTTTTTCAATTAAATTCAAATACATATCAGGCAAAGCAAATTCACAGGCAAACTTACTTTTGTGGAATGGACATAGAGAGTTCTTAAATCATAACCCTACTGTGCATTACCTGTAACTAGTCATTTCCATAAAATATTCTCATTTAGTTTGTACAATCTCATCCTTAATCCAATAGTATATCACTGCCCTGCAGGCAATATTGCAAGTGCATAGGCTCTAACTCTTCTACTCGACCAATAGGCAGCACTGATACTAGGTTTAGACAAAAAACAAACAAGACATACAAATCAGCTGTAAAACAGTATGAGGCATTAGGAGTTGAAAACCATTAAACCAATTCTCAAGAAAACATTTGGCTGATTGCCAAATAATACCTCATAAAATTCATCACTTATATGCATGACAGAGTCACACCTCTGACTCTTCTGTCTTATCTGTTAGCTTTGAAACACCACCATAAAATGAATTACCTTGACTGGAATGAAACACGCAACAACTCTTTAATCACTCAGCTGCTAAGAACTATTAACCAGAACATATTCACAAGCCTGTCAAGCAAAAATCTCATATCACAAGGCCCACCTACAAACCCTAAAGACCAGCCTAAACTTCCACAATCTGAACGACAAATTGTTCTGGGCAATAGCTCTGTCAGCCTTTTATGGCTTGGCCTGCCTAAAAAAGCTCCTTCCCATGACACGACAAGACATTAACAATATTCCAAGTCTCGGCACCTTGACATTTGAGAAAGTCAGCCATCATACATATGCCACTATCTAACTAGCAAACACTAAGGTTCACAAAGCAGCTATACACACATCCCTGACTATTAATCTGACATATGATAACCTGTGCCTGATAAATGCATTAAAAACTTATATCGTATAAAGAACAAACCTTGCAATAATACATGAGAGTAAACTACTATTCACCAAGGCGGATGGGTCATAGGCAACAAAATGGCATTTCATTGACAGACTCAAACAATTGTTACTAGCAGAGGACATGGTAGGTCACAGCTTCAGAACTAGAGGCACAACTAAATTTATAATGCGTGAAGTCCAACTTGTACTAATCTAGAAAATTGGTAGATGAAGTTCAGATTCTTTCTACAGATACATTCAGACCCACCTAGCCACAATAGCTGCAATATTGATAAAAGCATACTGTGATTAAGCCACTCTCATAACCCTTATTA